TAGAATGAGAATAGTTTCACCTGACTTTCAGGTAACACAACAAAAAGAACGAAATAATACATATCCTGAGAACACAACAAACTGCATTTATTGCTTTAATGAGTAAATGTTTAGAAACTACACTCTTTTAGTTGATAAGCAATGGTAATCAAGAGAAACTTCTTTTTTCAATTAGCAGTGGTTATTTTATTTTATATTTACGTATACTATCGAGGGTAAATACAGCTGCTCGCTAACATAGACTTCGATAAAACACTACAGAATACTAAACAAACGAAGGCTCAATTATAGTTAGAGACATCTAGTAAGCTAATACTCAACCTCAATAATAGTAACAAAGCCTACATTTCGTACAGTTTGTTAAGACCTCTTTGTATCAATGTATACGGTCTAAGATAACTATGCAAACTTTCAAGTGATAAAACGCTACAGAACACCGAATACGCGTAGGCTTATAGTTTACAGAGACATCCGGTTAGCTAAAAATCAACCCTCATAATAAAGACAAAGCCTTATTTGGTACAGTTTCTTGAGACCTTAATATCAATGTATACAGTCGAGGATAACTATACAAACTTTCAACAGTTAAAACACTACGGAAAATGAAATACGCACAGGCGTTATAACGTTAGACATCCAGTAAGCTAAAACTCAACCTTCATAATAGTGACAAATCCTACATTTGGTTTAGTTTGTTAAGACCTCCTAATATCAACGTATACTGTCGAGAATAAATACAAATGCTTGCAAATACAAACTTTGATAAAACACTACAGAACACTAAACAACCGTAAGCTTGATATTTACAGAAACATCCAGTTGATTTCTACTCAACCTTAATAATTGTAACAAAGCGTGCATTTTCTTCAGTTCCGATTAATCTTCCTGCATCAACATCAACAGTAACAAGGCATACAACTCCATACGGCAAGTTTATAACTCCTTCGGAATAGCGCAAATCAAGAAAAGATGAGGTCACGATATCTTGCGTAAATTATAAATTAATGCATTCTTTCTCCTTAAAAATGAGGCGTGTATGATGTTTTGAATGGAGAAAAACAAGTGATTTATGATAAAGCGAAATCACCTATAGGATAGCAAACAATGAAAATAATTCAGAATAACAAAGCTGACCACTAAAGTCAATCACACTATTTATTTTTTCCATAGGATAGTGTGATGGAATAGCAGCACAGATTACGTTGTAAGCCTTAACATACTCTCCTCAATAACGATATAATGTATGAAACAAATACTTAACACAAATGAGAAAGTAACTAATCAACAATTACTCACTGAAGTGGAGGTAAGCATTTACCACTTTCATCAACACGGAGGTAAATAATTGTTTAGTGTACACCACAAAACAAACGAACAAATTAGTTTATTTCTCAAAATATACCAAAATATGGTCGGAAACTCTTCTCGGAAGTAAACAGTACTTGCTAACCACTTCTGAATAAGCGAATAAGCCAATCAGCGCACGTGAAAAGCACTGTTCACCTGTAAGGTATATGCTAAGGCAAATTATCCATAACGTGGTAAAATAAAGTTGGTAATAACGTTACAAATTAAATTAATACACTCGATTAACGGCTCTCAGTCGTTTCGCAACAAAATCGTTTCGCCACAAGTTGAAGTCGATTCGCTACAAATTAGAACTCGTTTCGCAAAAAATTTGTTTCCTTTCAACTTCAAAAAAATCATGGAATGATATCAAACAAACCCTCCATCGTCACTGAAACACCCAAATTTTCATTTGTGGCTGAAGGGTATACCGGCTTCCGCGATTGGATGCAAATGACAACTACCTGACCCTTAGCCTTGGGAGTGTCTCGATCTAAACACCGTCATAAAGTATTATGAAAACAGTAATTTTTATGCGATGAAAAAAAAAACTGTAACCAAAATGATTTATTACACTGAAGTTCAACGCACTTATCAAAAAACATATCAAGTATCAAGGAAATTAGGGCTTCGATGCATGGGTAACGGCAAAACAACATTAACAGACTTGTTCCCCAAGAAGAATCGACGGTGGATTCGGTGGAAAAATAATCAAAAACTTAGTTCGGGAAAAGTAAAATTTTCGGAGTTTGTCATGAATGTAATTCAAGAACACGCAGCGCTCGAAAATTGTTGAAGGTAAAGTTGAATTTGATTATCGGTTAAAATTTTTAAGTTTTACGCCTAAAGGCTTTTTTACGGCTAGCGGTTAACTGCATTGACACCCTCTCTCAAGAGTAAACAATCAGTTTGTTTCTCGTTGCTGTTCATTTTTCTGCGGAAAAACTGGAAGTTTCATCGGTCTCTCTTGCCAGAAAATTAAGGATATTAATTCGCATTCTTGCCGGTGAAAGATGAACACTAAAGAACATTATTTTTCTAGATTATTCTTAGAGAGAAACAAGTCAAGTTAATAGCCAAACAATCCCGGATTTAAAGGGAAAAAACATTGAATTTGTAGCGAAAAGATTTTGACTTGTTGTGAAATGACTTTAATGGCATAAAAAAAATGTTTAAAATAGCAAACAAAACACGTTGGGACTCGAACTCTCTAGATCTTTCTTCTTCAATCTAAATTTTTTAATTAAGTCTGCCAAAAACGATCAGCACTGAATGACTCATATATATATATATACACACATATATGTATAAGTGAAGGAATCAAAGAGGACGCATCGATTCTCTGTTACTCTGAGTTTCGCGCCCAACCGCACGTCAGACAGAACTTTATTCAATGGAGAACATACCTCCTTATATACAAATTAGATGAGTAGCTAATTAATTCCCTAATGTGATGAGCTACTAGCTACTCATCTAATTTATATATAAGGAGGTATGTTCTTCATTGAATAAAGTTCTGTCTGACGAGCGCTTAGGCGCGAAACTCAGAGTAACAGAGAATCGATGCGTCCTCTTTGATTCCTTCACTTATACATACCCAGCTCTGCTACCACAGCATTGAGCACTTTATGCCAAGGTAGATTCTGCCCCCACCTAATTGCCCTAATTGGCACTCTTATTTACTTTTCGATGGGGTTCTCCTATTTTGAATGTTTATGGGTCTATCACGCACATGCAATTAAACTTCATGAAATGTCACGTAAAGTGATGGATAAATCCTGAAGACCACGCTGTGGCTGGAACTCTTTGAGCGTGACTTTTCGAACTAATACTTTTCCCTATCAAAAATAGTAAACGTATCCAAACAAATTGACGAAAAACATGATAATGAACGAATACTACTAAATAGGGAAGTGAAAATTGTAATAATTTATAATAACAATACTGACAACTAGGATTATCAGTTATTGCTAACTCGATGCGAAAAACTAACGACTAGGTTGTACTGGCATTTTCTATCAATTTATAAGCTGATGAGGGCTAAAAAATACAAAGATCTAAGATTAACGCCATTTTTTAATTTTAACCTCATGAAAGGTATCATCAAATTAAAGGGGAAGGCTAATTTGATTTGCTGAATTGATCTGTTTTACTATAACTAAGGTTTCCTGAATAAACCAACCATGGTGTAACTCTAATTTAGATTTCAGTCTTAACCTTGATTAGTGAGTAATGATAAAATACTTATGTGACTCGCACAATTTCCTGCACTAAATAAGAGTGTCTTGCAAAATACATGACTATTCAGTGTGCTGAATCTGCTCTCAGTTGATTGGTAAGACAGTTGTTATTTTTACTAATTACCCTTGAAGAAGGATTTCACGGCGCGAAACATACCTGACTTGCTATCTTTGGTTTTCATAAGTATGGGAAGCATCCTGTGTAAAATAAATAAATTTCAACGTTTACTTCATTGCAAAAATTATCGAAAAATGAATTAATAACTGGGCAATTGATGGTCCAATCAGGATCGGATTCCTATGAGTTATGACCAGCAGCAACCCATACAGCCCATAAAAAAAACAAAGTTTGACTAAAATTGCAACTTAACTTGGATTTAATCCAAATACCATGTGGGATGCAAAAATCATTTGACCGTGTTATGCCAGACGTAATTGCCCATAAAGGGGTAAGTTTCTAAAGAAAATGTGGTGCTGCCTCGGTGGGGGAGTACAACAAGATAATTTGGTTTTAAAAACTGAGTTGATAATGAATATTGGCCGCCGTAAAGAGTTTCAAAGCTGACATTTCGCGCGTTAGCCCTCCGTCATTCGCCCTGCCCATTTCCGAATTGCCTCTTTTTCAAAGTAAGCCCTGGTGCTCATCCTCTCGTGTGATTATAAGTTTTCATTCTCGTTCAAGTTAAACTCATTTTCAGGCGAATGGTTGAGCATTAAGGGCCCCTTTCCAGTTCCGGTAACTTAACAGACTCGAAACCATATTTCAAAATCAAATTTAAATGAACAATAGTGAAGCAGTTTCTGTCAGCCTAACCAGTCCACTTTGTTTCTTAAACTCACAGGTTTTTTTGTATCCTTTTCAAAGCTTTTGAAACCCATCAGGAATGAAAATTAGAACACCTTTGCGGGCCGTTAAGTTTGGCACGTTTCTCAAAAGTCTCAGTAACTTAACGGGCCCGAAGCCACATTTAGAAATCAAAATTAAACAACAGAGAAGCAGGCTCTGACACCCTAACCACTCCATTTTGTTTCTATAGCTGCTAAGTTTATTTCATTAATTCTCAAAACTTTCGAAACCCCCATCTCAATTAAAAAAACAAACCGCTTTCCGTGCCCGTTAAATTACCGAGACCTTGGAGAAACGGACGCCAAACCTACTCGATACCATAGAGTTGTCAAGGATTGAATGATTGTTTTACTGGTCCAATTTAAATTTCTTAAGTGAAGCTACAGACTTGCCCAATTAAGTTTTCTAACGGTTTTGAATAAATTATAAATGAGCAGTCAGTAAACTCTCACTAGGAGCACCTGGGAATTAAGACGAAAGAACAGAAAATCTTATCGCGGGGATGGGACAGGGATAAGTATAATTTCGTTCCGCCACAATAAACTAAAAGAAAAATGAATTAGAACTTACCGCTCTTCTTTGTACACTTTTTTGCGGCCTGACATGACTCCATCTAAAACAAGGGAAATTATACATTGATCACCATATAGTTGACTTTACAATTTTGTTACTTAGATGTTTAAGATTTTAAGGACCTTTTTTACAGGAAATGGTCACGATTTCCAGACGAAGCCTAGCGCACGAATAGGGAATTTTTCCTTAAAGAGGTTCTCAGTGGAGAGCTATGTATGACAATTGTCGGTTAAATCAGTATAGGCCATCTTAGAAGTAGACTTTTTTTTAAAACTTTACGACATTTGACGATTAATGGTAGTTTCTTCGCTTATGGCGAAAAATTGGTTATGGTTATGTATTTGGTCAATACCGTTGCTTTTTATACAAGACTCCGTGAAACATACATCTAAATTTTGCATTGAGGGATATTTGAGAGATTTGACGGCTGATATTTATTAAATTTTTTGACAGCTGACGACAATAATCTTTTGACGTTTGACGGTTATTTTTTTGGGTGCTTTTTTTTGTTAACAATTATCCCCATTGAGACCTTCGTCTTAAGTTATGCAGTAATGTAAAAATCAAACAAGGGATATGCAATACTGTACCCAGAGCTCTTTTCAATGACTTCCCATTGTGTTTTAGTGAACAAAGCTGGTTTTTCCTTTTATGGATATCTGTGGGAACAACTTTGCTTGGGTCCGCCATATTTCTAGAGGTCTCGATGACTCGTTTTGTCTCCTCGTATGTCTCCTTTTCCTTTTTCATCGTTTGAATCTTCTTTTGGTCTCTGATATCCTTATTCTTGCTTTCCTCATCTTGGATCAGCATGTCGAGGTAATCACTAAAGGAGTCGTTGTAGGGGATCAAAGCATTCTCGTTAAGAAAGACACCGAAATAGCTAGCGCATTCAAAAATATACTCCTTTTCTTTCTTTAGTTCCTGGATTGTCTCCTCCAATGTAGCAACAAGTGCTTCCTTCTGAGACTTCTTGTCTTCCTTTTCCATAATGAGCTGCTGTGCTTCTTTACAGAGGAATTCCTTTTCCACAAGAGAGGCTTTGTAGGTAATGTGCATGTGGCTTCTGAAGTCGTGTTGGCATTCTGTGCACTTCCCGTCAACCATTACTCGACAGGTACGAAGTTGCTCGTTGTTCATAGTCTCGACCGATACGCCTGTAAGGTAGCAGTGATCGTGACAGATCTGAGAGTAAATCACGTTTCTTTCTCTAGTCTCACCGACAGCTTCATATGTCTTGCATTTATCGGCTGCACAAACAGTCATGGGGTATTCAATTTGTTCAATTTCAAGGTCAAACCCTTTGAATTTTAGTTGCGCCTGGAAAGCTTTGATGTCAGCGTCAAAAACTTGCAACTCTTCTTCCTTCTCTTTGAGTATCATTAAGTTTTTACTAATCAGGCGAACAGCCTCCCCCATTGGTTTGCTTAGGGCAAGTACGTAATTCCTCGCCTCGTTCAGGCTCAGCGTCTTTGTTGTCTCGTGAGGTTTCACTTTCATAACTCGTTCAAAAAGCTTGGTGGTTGTGTCGCGCGACTTGGTCCAGCTCTTAGAATAGAGATCAACTTCATCGTCCTCAAACTCTATTCCTTTCTTAAGGCAGGCAAGAAACCTATACAAAAACAAGAAAATTTTATAAATGCACTTTTCTATTAGTGAGAGACGAATACGTGTGAGGGCCGATCGAGAAAACAGAAACTGCTGCTACAGTTTTAAGGTAAAGCCTTTTTTTACTTGTCTCCGATGTTTGTGGGTGACTAAAGTTTTATTGGCATGTCTGAAAAGTAAACCTGGAGGTGTGCTGGTCTGATATATAAAGCGACCGTATAAAGGTTCATAAAGTGAACCTCTAGGAGAGGTTCGATTCTAGGAAACAAAAATCTTCTCTGAAACGATTATCTACTCCGTCTCTCCCGAATCTAAATGGATCTAACTTTGCAGAACTCACCTGAAAGCTTCGTTGTCAAAGCAAAAGTGATTTGACTTGGCTGAATGATCCATTGTTATCTTATGCTCGTTCAAGAGTTTCTTAAGCGCTGGAAGAGTGTCCCCAGGTCTGTACATAGTTGATCTAGAGTTAGTGTAGGCGAATATTATGTTTGACACAAGCGACTTGTGAAGGTGGGTCAGCAACTCCAACACACAGAACCTGAAGGCCACTGTTAACCTTGCATTGTTCGGCTTGAGAAGTACAACAACGGCATTGATCTTGTCGTAGCAGGTCAGGAAGTCCAAGGTGTTAGCAAAGTTTTTATTGTCCTGTTCAGTGCCACGACTGTCCCCAATGCCTGGAGTGTCAATTAGATTGAACCTTTCGTTCTCTGTCTCAAACGTATACGTCTGGGGAAACTGCGTAGCAGACTGACCAGTAACGCACACCTCATTGTCATCCTTTCCAAAGGAGATGTCCACTTCTTTGCCATCTTCATTTGTAAAGGAAAACCTGAAAAATGTAATATTCCATTGTGTTTTTTTTATATTTTGACTTTCTGTTGAAAGAATTGTATGACATAGGTGGTTTGTTATGTTATAATTTCCCAAAGTAGGGATCCCAAAAATGAAGGTACAAACTTTGAATATTTTAGTATGGACGGAGAGGGCATTAATTTTGTGGTCAGAATTGATCTGCTATTTCGATGATGTTCTGATAATACCATATAAAAGTTTCTGAAGTTTGCAAACCTAGGAGCTTTTTTAGCGAAAAATCAAGGTTAGTTCTAGAATTTTACTTGTGAAATTTATTGCCATTTTCAGACTTTACAAGACTTAACATTACATTCTATTTTGAAATATATTGTTAGACCGCATTACGACGAAAGCAGTAAAATCAAAAGACGTACGCTGTTTTCCTTACACCAAGTTTGTTTCTATTGCCACTGCCTAAATAAAAGCTTTTACAGTCCTCGTTTTAATTAAAAGAAAGTGCTAAAATTTTAAATTTGGCAAAAGATATCGAATGAAGGCTAAAATCTCGGACAGTCTTAAGCACTCATTAAGTTGTAGATAAAAACTCATTTAAAATAAGATTTTCTATAAATTTTAAATAAAAATCATATAGGTTTGTCGATATAATTTTATTGAAACAAAACATGGCGACTTTTCCTTCTCGGTGAGCAGTATGTGGAAATTTCGTGGAGAGTTTCTGAGGGCTTAAAACGGCAGCAAACAGTTAATTAAACTGTATTTATTTTAATAGCTGTTCAAAGCGCTCTCTTCACTTCCTCCAAACCAAAGGCTTTCAATATTTTAAAATACTGGAATTCGTTCCTATCAATTTCTGCTGCACACAATGCCTGCCGCAAACTACTTTAATACAGCTACACTTGTAGATAATAAAAGAAATAAATGAAAAATGAGAAAAATAACTGTGCGAAGATGAAAAAAAGACTTTGGAAATTTCGATACAAGCTATGGTAATTTACTTTGTCCCTAGTATTCTGTCGACACCTTTTTAATGGAAAAAGAAAAAATGTATTTATTTCATATATGATTTCAAATTTAAATGTTTTGAAAACGAATGTATGCATGAAAAAAAGGAACAACAACAAAACACATAAAGTAGTTGACTTATGAATCAAGCCGAGGTTTCTGCACATTAAAGCTAGTCTAAGCTATTAACAAGAGAGCAGCCTGTTTCAGTCATGCGAACGATTTAATATACCTGATTGGAATCAAGACTTCGAAATCAGATTCATTCTTGGCAGCTTCGAGAGATTCATGCTTGAAGTAATTGGCGATCCCATTTATCCAGGTGGACTTTCCAACCCCAGTCTCTCCTAGTATGAGAATATTGACGTCGTTCTTTTGCTTCTCTTCTTTCACTGAGAAAAAAGATAAAGAAGGAAGGTAACGCTGTTTGCCAGGATAAAAATTACAAAATTCTTATTTCATATTTTCCCAGCAAGTCGGTGTAATTATGGTTTCTCTTTATGTCAGAATGTAACTTGATAGGCTTTGCTGAACCTTGGTAAGCGAAATGGAGAAGCTTAAAGTTCGGAGGATAAAGTTGATCCTGAAAGCATTTGTGAATTAAAAGACTGGCCTGGGTACCACTGTATGTAAGTGATTATATCATTTATCTTGAACCAGGAGCACTTGCATATTGATATAAGAGGGATAATTATAGGAGAAACGCAGAGACAATCAATTTCCGTTGCTAGATAAATCTGACAACAACTTTTTTTTCCTTTGTCGCCGATTGGATATCAGAGCAATTGGGCTTAAAATGCTGACAACCTCACACTGAACGTTTCCAATAAAAAGAAGACGGTTTTCGTATGAAAATTTAAGATATGTTATCAAATATGTTTTCAAGGGCACGAATGATTTTTTTCCCACAAGGGCTAACCATCACCTTGCCAAAGGTAAAAAAATGGTAGATTTTCTTTTAACCAGTTAACTAACTCACAGAATTACTAGGTTTTTTCCTGATATAGAAGCCTCTTACGATTATGAACATAATTAAAGAAAGCTGAGTATGCTATTTCAGTAGGCTATGTGGGAGTGTCTGATCAAAAATAGGAACTTACGTATCTCCATTGCTCTTTGTCTTAAGTATGCCATTTTCTAAGCGATATAAGTTTTATGTAACCACAATATTTTGCACGTAACAGGATCTTTAGACCCGCTGTTCTTCCGGTAAATGACCCTTTATGATCAGAGACCGCCATGCGTATTGTATCTATTATTACATCCAATGAGAGTTCTTTAGGGGTTGTAAAACTTACCTTTCACACTTGCTTCTTCTCCAGGATTTATGACTGATTGCTTCAATAAATAGAAAAAATAGTTTCAATTGTAATCTATTCACGCTTTTGAGTTAAATCACGCAAGGATTGCCTAACTGCTCACCATGATGAATTCTCATCAGTAAGCATTTTGCTTCCATCACCGGAAAAAATCAAGAGAATCGCCAGCTTCATATCAAGTCAGAATTTGTTTGAATAATGCTATAAAATTTATTTGTCTCATTTTTCTTTTCTTTTACACTTGGTACAATTGTGAGAGATTATTCAGCGTTAATTGATTTCCGGTTGATTTTTTGCGATAAGCGACAAACGATTGAACAATAGGATCATATTATATATTTAAAAGGAGAGAGACCAGAGCGTGATACGAGAACAGTGGGAGAGAGAACGAGATCAAGTTGATTTTATAAATAAAACGTGAAGTTTCGGAACATAGCAGATTCTTTAGTCTCATTTCCGACGCAGTGGCACCTCCGACGGGACTCGCGAAGCATGGAGGAACTAACCAAAGAAGCAGAGGCTAAATTACAGATGTTGCTGTACACTAATGAAAAAACACGTAGCATCGTGGAAAAAGGAAACCTAGGAGCGGTCGCGCGACATCGTGACAACCTACAAGCATTAGTAAAAGAAGTAGACGCGCTTAAATAAAGGGTTGAGCAGACCATGTTCGAGGCCGGAAAAAGTGCAGAAGACGTTGGAAGTTGGAGCAGTAGCATTGAAGAACCGATCACCGAAGCTCACAAAGAAGTGTCGCGAAAAGCGGAAAAACGGCTCGTGGAGACGAATGAAGAGATCGAACATCGAATGCAAAAGGACGAAGAAGAAAGGAAAGCCCGTGCTCATGAAGAGGAGCTTAAATTCGAAAGAGATCAAATGGAGATGAAGCTAGAATTCGAACGCCAACTGGAAGAGATCAAGGCAAAACAGCAACCTGTTGATAAGGCGAATCAGAGTGAACAAAGGACAACAAAACTACCGAAACTACAGGTCACAAAGTTTAATGGGACGTATGAAGCATGGCTGCCATTTCGGAACGAATTTCAAGCCGAAATTGATAAAGCAAACCTTGCATCTGTGACCAAGTTTGCATACCTAAAAGAGCTGGTAGATCCAAAGGCTCGAGCGGAGATAGACGGACTGCCTTTCACAACAGAGAGCAAGAGAGGGCAAAGAATATCCTCATCGGCGAATATGGGAAAACGAGTGAGATCGTAAATGCGTATGTCCAGAACATCGCTAACTTGCCTGTCATAACAGGAACACAACCTGCGCCTATCCACGAATTTTACAAGAAGCTCGTGTACAGTGTGCAATCTTTGGAGACACTGGGCAAATTGAAAGACGTGACTGGAAATGCAAGGAGTGTGCTCGACAAACTAAAGGGTGTAAAAGCAGATCTAGTAAGAGGACATATTGACTGGCAGGACTGGGACTTCCCACAGCTGATAAAAGCTTTGAAAAGTTGGAAGGAAATCAACGCCATTGTGAGCGGCACGGATAATGCGTGTAAGCAAGTTCCTAAATTCCGCGATCGCGAAAAAACACTTCATGCAAACGAAACAACGCCAACACAAAGAGGGTGCGTCTACTGTGACGTAGTAACAAGTTTGTGACAGTTGGAGACCGCAAGAGGCAACTAGGTCTGAAACAACTGTGTTTTAATTGCACAGGAAGTCGACACCGCGCTGCTGAGTGCAAATGCCGTTCTGGCTACCAGATCTGCAGCTGAAGACATCATACATCGATCTGTGACAAATCTACACCGTGAGACCAGCTGATGACCACAACGAGCGTAGAAAGAAAAGGAATGGTGTATCCTATGGTTACAGTTGACGTGAATGGTGTTAAGTGTCGAGCATTATTGGATACGGGAGCCGGATATTCCTACGCGTTATCAACGCTTCTGGACTGTTTACATTTGCGTCCTATCCGTCAACAATTCAAGAGCATTGAAATGATGTTTGGTACTTCAAACAAAGCGATAGACATATATGGCCTACAAATTCGAAGCGTAGATGGCCAATTCACCTTGGAAGCCGAAGTAAACAAAGTCGACCACAAAGAGTTGTTGACATTGGAAAACCCAAAATGTGCAGAAATCGTAGTTCAGTTTTCTCATTTGAAGGACGTAACCACAAATGATAACGACGAGAAAGCAGAATATACGAAGTTCGGCTGGACGATCTTGTCACCTGGAACGGAGTTGGATCTCAGCAACATGTTCTTAACGCAGACCTCCGCAATCGATTTCGAAGAATTGTGCAAGTTAGACGTCTTGGGGCTAAAGGACAATCCAAGTGGAGACCAGGAAACCGTTTATGAAGAGTTCAAAGAGCAACTAACCAGGAGTTCACAAGGCTGGTACGAGACGAGCCTGCCCTGGAAAGGAAATCATCCTTTCCTACCGAACAATCACACAGGAAGTTTAAAACGTCTTAAAAATTTTGTGCGAAAGTTAGAGATGCGAGGCGAGCTGCAGAGGTACAACGACATTATCCAGTCTCAACTGAGAAAAGGGACTGTAGAACGCGTTGACGACGTGGTCAAGGACGGAAGAGAGTTCTACATTCCTCATGAAGCGGTCGTGCGCGAGAACGCAGAATCTACAAAGATACGCATTGTTTATGATGGTTTTGCAAGAACAAATGCAAGTGTCCCCTCACTCAACGAGTGTCTCGAAATCGGCCCTCCACTACAGAACCAGCTTTGGAACGTGCTGATACGAAATAGGTTCTACCCCGTGGCAATAGCTAGTGATTTAAAATAAACATTTTTGCAAATTCGCGTCCGAAGAGAAGACCGAGATGCCTTACGCTTTCATTGGATAAAGGATCTGGCAAGCAAACAGGTAGAAACCCTGCGATTCACTCGAGTACCCTTTTTTTGGCACTGTCTGCATTCCTCTTGGCCGCAGTTATCAAAGAACATCTACAGAGATACAAAATGGTGAACCCGGAACTAGTGGAGGAGATAGAGCGCAATATGTACGTAGATGATTTAATCAGTGGCGGGGAGACAACAAAACAAGCGTTAGAAATCAAGATGACAGCCACAACAATCTTTGGTGAGGCGACTTTCAAGCTGCACAAGTGGCATTCCAACAATCGGGAGTTAGAAGTTGAAACTGCGACTTCAGATGAAGAAAGTCAGAGTTACGCCAAACAACAACTGGAAACCAGAAAGGGCGAATCAAAACTGCTGGAAGTCCCCTGGGACAAAGTAAAGGACGAAATTCAAGTCAGCTTCCCGATTTCAACCGCTGAGCCGACAAAAAGGGGCATCCTGGGAAAAGTCGCAAAAATCTACGATCCACTCGGTCTGGCTTCACCCGTGAACCTCTCTGGAAAACACTCTACAGAGATGCCTGCGACACGAAGATCGCGTGGGATAGCCCCCTACCAAGTGACTTACAAGCCAAATAGAAGAAATGGGAGCAAGGACTTCCAGAGCACGTGAACGCGCCAAGAAATGTCGTGAAGCATGTAGGGAAGGTTTTATCAATCGATTAACACATATTGGGGGACGCAAGCAGGAAAGGAGTTTCAGCCGCGGTTTACACTGTGGTGGCGCAACCATCAGGCACGAATTAAGGTCTTGTGACGGCAAAGTCGCGGCTTGCGAACAAAAGGATGCACGATTCCCCGATTAGAACTAGTGGCTGGATGTATGGCTGCAAACCTAGAACAAATTGTAAAAGAAGTCCTCAGGGGTTTTCCCGTATGAAGTGTTTATGGTTGGCTGGATAGCACAGTAGCACTGCACTGGATCTGTGGAAATGGCGAATACAAACAGTTCGTGGGAAATCAAGTGAGAAAGATCCAGGAAAAACAAATCAACTGGAGGCATGTACCAACAGAGGAGAATCCAGCGGACGTGGAGAGTAGAGGAGGAGATATTAGTAGATTGACAACTCTTTGGTGGCAGGGACCAAGCTGGTTTGCAAAACCACAGGATTGGCCGCCAAACCTTGTAACGACAACTACTCAAGAATCAAAGGCGGAAGAAGTGAAAAAAACGCGCGAGTTGTTTGCTCTAGCAGTAGAGAAAACAGAGAACAACGACGTCTTCGATGAGCTGCTGGAGAAGCACGAGCTTGGCGTGTGTTGCAAGTGGGTGCCTGGATCGGGAGATTCCTCCACAACATAAGAACCGTCCGTAAACAGAGAATCGTTGGTCCCCTTACAACTGAAGAAATACAGAAACAGACAACGTTCTGAATCAAGCGAGCTCAACAACAAGCAAATTCGAGCGAGAAATATGAAGTAGACCGTTTACAGTTGAATGTGCAAGGAAACCGAGAGGGAATATTAGAGTGCAGGGGAAGAATTCAAGGCCATTACCCCATCTTTCTGCCAGACTCCTCGCCCTTCAGTCGCAAGTTAGTTCACCTATCACATGTCGACAGACTGCACGGAGGAGTGGCCCTTACCATGACCAAAGTGCGAGAGCTATACTGGGTACCGCGTTTAAGGGCACGTTCAGGCTGCAAGCGTTTTCAGGCTATGGCACTGGCAACGCCGCCTCCTGGACTCCTACCCACTGACCGTAAAAAGGGGAGCACCCCATTTGAGGTTATCGAAGTTGATTTTGCAGGGCCCATCGAGTAACATTTCAGAGCCAAAACAAAAGGAAAGGCCTATCTTGCATTGTATGCATGCAGTCTTACACGAGGATTATTCTTGGAAGTTCTACCAAACCTAGCGACCAGTGAATTCCTAGGAAGTTTAATACGGCTCATCGCGCGCTGTGTGCGTCCGGAGAAGATATATTCCGACAATGGCAAAACCTTTGTTGGCACCGAGAAGTGGCTCAAACAAGTTATGCGTGACGAGAAGACAGATGATTGAACAATAGAATCATATTATATATTTAAAATGAGAGAGACCAGAGCGTGAGACGAGAACGGTGAGAGAGAGAACGAGATCAAATTGATTTTATAAATAAAACGCGAAGTTTCGGAACATAGCAGATTCTTTTGTCTCATTTCCGACACAATTACTTCAGCTATTGAAATTCAGAAAGTTACCCGAACCAAAGAAAATTAAATATATCTCTGACTGTGACAATGTCCAAATTGAGGTCATAAGGCATTCTAACACGGTTCCTTTCTTCTTTCTGTCTTTTAGACTTTGAAGTGACCTTTTTCAGGGTAATAGTATTCTGAAAAAAATACATTACCGTTTCATCGACTTGTAAGCGTATGCAAAGAAATGGTTTAACATAATGGTGGAATTGCTTACGCATAGGCTGTCGTGTTATGTGCTGTGTGTTACGCGCTACAAGCCTCACCATCAATTAAAAACATTACCAACCTTCTTGCTCAGAATTTGTTTCCACTGATAAACGAATTTTCCAGGTACATTACGACCGTCAAGGGAACCGTCATAGGTTTTCAAACAGGCCTTTACTTTGTCTGGCCCCTCTCGCTTGTTCATAGTCGAAATTGCTTCAATGAATTCTTTGTCAATCTGATTGATCTGACTGAGAAAATCTTTTACATCATCATGAATTCCATTTTCATTCTGAAGATATGCCTCAGCGAGGCCTTTTGCGGTTCGCAGATCATCAAAACAGCTCTCCAAGTTATCGATATCATCTGTCAATGCCCTCTGTTGCGAAAAATCTTCTGTTCTTGAAATAATGGCCCTCGTGGGCTGGAGCTCAAACTGCAAAGATAAGAGGTCTTCGTGAAAATCAGTAAGTTGTAGTTGACGTTCATATCCCTCTGTGCAATAGTTCGTTGGATCTATACCAACTATACAACTTTTGCGTGGGTTTTGCGAGTTAATTGAAGAAAGATAGCGGTATCAAAGAAAATATCATTTGACTCTATTATTATTAATAGGAGAAAATAACATCTTTTCATTTTGTGTAATTATGTATGAAACCATGGATGAAAGTCAGAGAAAGATGGAAATATACTGAACTACAGGCAAGCGTAATGTACATATTAGGAGAGAATCTAACACTTATTGGAATCCCTTTCCCATCATTTAAGTTCTTCAGTCTAGAAGGGAATTTCTGAATCAGTAACACTAGGTCCTCCATTGTGGTTGGCAGTTTGTCTGGTATGTCTGTGGCGTAATATTTGATGACGATATCTGATACATCGTTGCATTCTGCTGATAGTTTGTCTAGTGAAGCTTTAAGTCCTGCATTGACAACTCCAACGTTTAGTTCTCCTTCAGCATTTCCTTTGATTTGTTCCCTAGAGATGAAAAATCAATATTGAGAGTAATGCTTGCCTTGTAAGCTGGAGGAACTACCGCCTAGTTTCAAATAGTTTTATGTACAAGCTATACGAAGGAAGTAATGCTCAAAATGTCGCCTTTTAATAATCCGCTACGGAGTTTTTACTACCTTCAAAAAATCATAGTTGAAAATCAACAAATAATATAAAAAATTTGTTAACCTTTGCATCGCAATGTCCTCACAATAGTTAAATAGGTGAACCTGAAATTGGCGATATGCTCATCTTTGGCCTTAGAGGAGAAAATTTCTGAGACGATTTATTTTCATGATGGAAAACATGCTAGTCTGGAAGAAACTGCAAATTTCTGGAAGAGAATTCTTTTTCAGTGGAAAAGCGCTGCAAGAATTTTTATTTCTGCAATTTATAGTATTCAGAAATAGATAGGGACTTTCTGGAAATATCTAGAAACCTTAGTTATGATAATAATGAACACAAATGAACAAAACGTAGGCATGCGTAACATGTGAGAGATTTTTTGCTGAGTGGGTTGAGATGGAACACTTTGTGTACCTAATTTTTTCCATTTTTGTAACAGAAAAAGACCACAACTTTCAGAAGAACGAAAATATCGCATTACTCAAACCTAGTTTATCTGAACTCACACAAATGTTTTGTCGTCTATTTTCTTTTTTGTCAAAATATTCTACGCAAACGTAAAATACATCTGTGCCACGCTTACTGTTTTCTCCTTCGCGACCATGTTTTGGTTTCGTAACACAACGCTATCTACTCCTCGTTGGAGAGAGGGCGTTGCGTGACTAGACCAAATAACGGTTGCGCAAGGGACTACGCTAACTGCCGTTCCTCTAACAGAGAGAAAATCAAAATTATTCGTCTACAGTTTGTTGCTTCAAAAATGTAATTCCACACAATTTCCCCATGAAAAGCAAACTAAAACTCTGTAAAGATATATTGCGATCTCGAATAAGTGAAGATAAATTATATTAGAGGAAATGATAAATTTTCAAAGAAGGCTCCTTGATCGGTTGTTGCCCATCTAGACTTTGTCCTCTGTGTGTGGAATACGTCATAAAATGCAGATTGTTTACAAGGAAAGAACACGCGATTAGGTCAAGTCCAAGTTCTAAAGGCGAGTTTTATTTGTAGAAAGAGTCAAAACGCGAAAGAATTGCGTGGAAAAATTACTATTAGTAGCATCAAATTAGTTCCATGTGCATTGTTTTCAGTGGGGTTGGACAATGCGGTTAGAATACGTGGTAAAATGCAGGTGAAAATGCAAGGAAATGACACGTGTTGGAGCGAAGTCTAATGCATCAAAATGGAGTTTGATTGGCGGAATACAATTAAAGCACGAAAAATTACCAGATGTTATTTGATTGGGTATGTTCTGATTGCACTTTTGACGCTGTTATTATGGTACGTGATGGAATGTAAATTGTTTGGCGTGTGCATTGTGAGTAAAGGGGCTGGAAAAAAAGATGAATTCGAACCTTTTATATCCCGATAAATTTCGACCTTAATCGACGAGGCTCTCTCGAAGGCCACAAAACATTACACTTATCAAGTGAGCCCAAAATTTTTGGTTAAAGTTATTTTTTGTGCACAGCCCCCTGATTCCATGACACTATTTGAAAGAAACCCAAACGCAATGATTGGAGCAAGATATCCAAATGCTGTGATATGATTAATGCGAGACACATTCCCTAATGCGGCGATGTGATTGGTGCAAGCAAAATACCACTATACACGTTAACATAGAGTTATCATTATTGTTTTTTCGTGAAAAAATAACTTAATAAATGAATAAGTAAAAATTTCTCCTGTTCATCGGACATACTTGGTTGATTTTGATAAAGACTTAAATTTCAGGCTGGCTACCATCTCGACGCCATACGTGATGCTCCTTACGTAGTGAGTGCCCAGTGTATCGAAGAATTCACCCTTAGCGAGATCCTCTCTTGGTTTCACTGATCCGTCAATCGTATCAACAACCTGGAGAATGTGTGTTAACAACTTTGTTAGTCTTGATGCCTTAGGAGAACGGGGAAATACACGAAACAAACTAATGGAAGAGAACTGAAAATACTCGATGGCGAGGAACAAGAAATCTTCGAAATTTATCTGAAAATGTCTTAAGCTAATGGAATTGTGTGCACCGTTTTGTGCGGAAATTAGGTGAGCTTTGATAGCGAATGGTTACCATTCTGAAACGAATGACAGTTAAATGTCGACGGCCGCCGTTAAATGCATTTAAAAACTTGAAATCCGCTCTGTTTTTAAACAACCTATTTAAGTGGGTCTACACATGCCACCTTGGTGACTCTACAGCGAAACATACGTACCGTGGTGCATTTCATCACAGCTAGAAGAGTAGTTGTTCCTTCTTCTAACTTGCTCTCATTTATATACTGCCCTGCTCCTTCCACTTCCAACAGATTGGCTTTGATTTTTAGTGAGAATTCACTAGATACGTCCAGTAAGTCATTGATGTCTTTGCTGCTATTAACTAGTTGGTATTTGAAGGAAAACCTGTTGACATTCATGGACTTAATTGGTAAGCCATTGCTTGATGGGAAGACATCTGCGCATGCTCTCGAAGTTTCCAGGTCAAATGAGCGACCAAGGCATAGGGTGGGTAATGTATAAGCTGGGATGTCCATTTTCTTCAAAGGCAAAAAAAGGCAGAAATCAGAGGAAGGAGGAAACTTACTATTATTTGCTGTGCTTCAGTATAACAGTCCTTTGCTATTTTGTGAGCCTCGCTACGACAAGATTTAAAATAAGAACGGGTCGCTAGAAGTTCAAAAAGTGTGCAAACTTGAAAAAAATCAAATGGGAACCAAATCTACAAGTGGTGCTTTTTGACATTTCAACATCTTAAGCTAGCCGTGGTTTTTCATAAAGCTTTCTTTCGTTGGCTCTCGTGGGAATGTTTCTTACACTTATTACCTACTTAAGATAATTTACTAAATTTTCTTTTTCGCAGTAAATAGGCGGTGGGTATTCAAATTGTAAACCTTCCAATAGTCGTTTTGCTTATTAAGAACAATAGTCTGCAACTTTCGTACTTTTTGAAAATATTGCGGCCACTTAACCTCACCGATTTGGCTGAAATTTGACGTGAAGGCTAATTTTAGGGTCCTAACCACGAAATAGGTATGAATAGATTCCAGTTGTTTTTGCTTGGCAAAAAATCGATAAAGCCGGCCTAGTCTGCCCATACTTGCCCGCCAACATGGCTTATCGAAGGTATTCTTATGACTTCGACTCGGGTCCTGTCGTAAAGATTTCTTAAAATCTCTTTAAATAAATAAAAGGATCTACCTTTTTTTTAAACTTTAATTGCAAAAAAAATCAAATAAATAAACCAAGCTTGGCTTGGTTGATGGTTTTGAAAAAAGTTGTATCTCCCTCAGCTTTGTAGGCAATACATTAATTAGTAATTAGCCAAAATTTAAGGAGCACAGTATCTTGGCAGAGTACGAGTCTTGAAACTCCCTCCTTAATAAATCAGCGATAAATTTTCTGCTTCAAATAAAACCGCGATCGTAAGCGACATTTGCATACCATGCAATATATAAACAATTAAAAATTCTCAAATCCTCGGAAATGTTATCGTGCTCACCACTGATATTTTTTTCTTCCTCTGTCTCTCTGTCTGTCTCTTGCTCTGATTCTCTCTGTCTCTTAAAGAAAAGAAGTTTAAGTTAGCTTTTTACCTCTTCCATGATATACTAGTGGAGTTAAACGAAAATTATAGATATGAAACTCGACTTGAGAAAGAAAAAACAATTGTATGTCTGTTTCAAAGGTTCAGTGGTTAACAAGGAAAACGATACTGAAACCTGTGAAAAGGAAGCTTGAAATTATCAAGCTTTTCAAAAAAAAACAGAAACAGAATTGGCGATCTGGTTAAGCCTCAGCATTTATGCAGAAGTCCTAGGATATCCTCAATAAATCGGCGATGCATCTTCTGCTTCAAAGAACAATACTATTCATGAGAGACAATTGCATGTCATGTAATATATGTAATAGATAAAATATTCGCGTTCGACCTTTATGGGCATTTAAAACGGCGAACCGTTTTAAAGCCGATAAAGGTCGAACGCGAATGTTTTACCTTACTTGTGAAGTGAAACCGTGAAACCGTAAAACAACACTAAATGGGGTAGAAAAGTCTTCGAGGAATGGCACCAGCGGTGGCAAAATACATGTGCAATGTTAAAAGTTTCAGAAGTTGTTGAAGTGGCCGATCTGAAATGCGAATTGGGGAAGACATTCAAGGTTTGACCGTTCCACTAGAGCATATTTCGCCGCGGAGATGAAGGATGCAACGAAGTGTGGAATAGCCCAGAAGTTCAAAATGGACACCGGCGAATATTAACTGAAGACGAAGAAGCGATATTGTGGGGAAAAGGCCTTCTTGGTGGATTCTCAGCTGAGTCATTGATGTATACTATTCAATTCTATAACGGAAAACTTTTTGGTCTTCTAGCTGGCGAACACAGGTTACTTAGGCTCTGCAACATTTTTGTTAAAGAAAATTACATTTTTGACGAAAGTTTTTCTAGAATTTTTCATGGAAGCCTGAATGATTTGAAGAAGAGGCCTCGTTCTATAAAGCATTTGTGCCATGAGGTTGGTCATCAGCATGATCGATGTTTGGCTGCGGGGTGTTCAGTCTATATTAATAAGGTGCAAGGTTTTGCTGCAAGTCTTCAGAGTTCTTATTTTCGGCCGAAGGGGATAATAGAAGGGATGTTCTTTCCGAAGATATTTTCTAAGTTGATGTATTAGCCAATATTCCAATGCCAGAGAATACCTTAACAAGTAATATCAGTAACTTTTGTGCCAATTTAGTATTTAACAACTGCACTATCAACTTTTGCTACGAGAAAAAGTAATATATATAAACGTTTAGATTGTATGTAGAAAATAGAAAGATGAAATTCTAAATGCAGTTTATTCTTTTTTATATCAAACTGGTGATTGATATGTCAAATTATTAATAAACTTTATATTGTTAATAAACTTTATAAGTAGGGGAGTTGGAAATCTTTATGAAAATTGATCCTGTTGTTAATTCTACTAATCCATAATTCATCAACACCCGCCTTTCCCTACAACAATTTCAAACCCTCCCCATGCTTTCATACAGTTGTTTTATATTTGGGTTTACTGAGGTAAACATGAGACTCAAATGCTGCCTATTGATTGGTGCATAACTTATTAATGAATTTGACAAAAATAATTAAACTCTCGAATTCTCGGAAATCTTATCGTGCTCACCACTGATGTCCCTCTCTTCCTCTATCCTTCTCTGTCTCTCGTTCTGTTTCTCTCTCTAAAAAAAAAACAATTGGATGTTAGCTCTTTATCTATTTCTAGATACACCAATGGAGTTTAACGAAAACTGTAGATGTGAAACTCGACTTGACAAGGAAAAAACAATTTTTAATTTTATGTCTTAATTAAAATTAAGCATACTAAGTAGGGGAGTTGAAATCTTTATGGAAATTAATCCTGTTGATAATTCTACTAATTCATAATTCATTAACACCTGCCTTTTCCCACCGGCACATAATAATGTATGGTTAGTGACGGTTAAGTGACTATAACTGGAGTGAAAAACTGGATGGCTCTTGAGATGGGTTTGAGATGTCCCCTGAGCTGCATACAGGTCTTAACCAAATAGAAAACTCATGGGTCAATTAAATACAGCTGGAGGTAACACTTGTTAAGATGCTACCTTTTCAGTTAAGCCAGTCACGTATCGGGGTATAGGCTCGGAACGCGTCTGCCTCATCAGTCATATCATCCGCGGCTAGATGTTACTTGTTAATATTGGTTCATTTTATGGGCAGTAAATTACTGAGCTCTTACGCGTACATTATTTTTACTCATGAGAAAGAAATTCCGTGAAAACTGGGTCCGCGAAACGGACAACATTCGAATTTTTTCAATTCCTAGCGGCGTTTGAGGATTGTAAATGAAGGTAAAATATTTCCCAAGGAAAAATTGGTATATTTCAAAGAGAAATATAGAGTTATTTGAGGACCGTGTCCAGCCGTGTCATTAAAATGTTTCTAAGTGTCAAGCGCTTGGATGGCTTCGTACTCTGTGTTTGTGATTGTGTTCTGTTGATTTGCCCCGTATGTGCATAAAGGTTAGCTTATATAGACGTGTAAGTACAAGAGATCGATCAAGTCGTTAAGAAATTAAACTCCTCTTAAATTTATAAAATTTAAGAGCAGCATAAGCCAAAATTTAAGGAACACACTATCTTGGTAGAATATGTCTTCAAACATCCTAAATAAATCAGCGATGCATGTTCTGCTTCAAATAAAACTTCGATCGTAAGAGACATTTGCATGCCACGTAATATATAAACAATTAAAAATTCTCAAATTCTCGGAAATGTTTTCGTGCTCACCACTGATCTCCCTCTCTTTCTCTGTCTCTCTCCCCGTCTCTCGCTCTTTTTCTCTCTCTCTCTCTAAAAGAAAGTAAGTTTATGTTTTTTTACCTCTTCTTTTCATATACTAGTAGAGTTAAACGAGAATTTTAGATATGAAACTCGACTTGAGAAAGAAAAATTTTCATTGTATGTCTTTGTTTCAAAGGTTCAGCTGTTCACAAGGAAAACGATATTCAAACCTATGAAAAGGAAGCTTGAAATTATCAAGCTGTCCAAAAAAGACAAACAGAATTGGTGATCAGGTTAAGTCTTAGCATTGAAGCAGAAGTCCCAGGATATTCTCAATAAATCAGCGATGCATCTTCTACTTCAAATAACAACACGATCATAAGAGACATTTGCATGCCATGCAATATATAAGTAATTAAAAATTCTCAAATTCTCGGAAATGTTATCGTGCTCACCACTGATCTCCCTCTCTTTCTCTGTCTCTCTCCCCGTCTCTCGCTCTGTTTCTCTCTCTCTCTAAAAGAAAGCAAGTTTAACTTAGCTTTTCTACCTCTTCTATAATATACTAGTGGAGTTAAACGAGAATATTAGTTCTGAAACTCGACTTGAGAGAAAAAAAAATTTTCATCGTATGTCTTTGTTTCAAAGGTTCAGCTGTTAAAAAAACAACATTCAAACCTATGAAAAGGAAGCTTGAAATTATCAAGCTTTCCAAAAAAGATAAACAGAATTGGTCATCAGGTTAAAACTTAGCATTTAAGCAGAAGTCCTAGGATATCCTCAATAAATCAGCAATGCATCTTCTACTTCAAATAACAACGCGATCATAAGAGACATTTGGATGCCATGCAATATGCAAATGATTAAAAGAATCCTCAAATTCTCGGAAATGTTATCGTGCTCACCACTGATCTCCCTCCCTTCCTCTGTCTCTCCCTCTATATATATATATATCACTCTCTCTAAAAAAAAAACAACTTTAAGTTAACTTTTTGCCCCTTTCCCGATCTATCAGTGGAAGTAAACGAAAATTAGAGATGCGAAACGCGACTTGAGAAAATAAACAGCTTTGTGTCTTAGGTAACTAAGCAAACCAAACCCAAACCTGTGGAAAGGAAGCTTGATATTATCAAGCTTTCCAAAAATAAAACGGAATTGGCGATCAATTTTAAAACACTAAGCGAGGGAATTTAGCATGTTGGCTGAAAATGTTAAGTACGTTTCGTACTTCGATTCTTTACCAAATCTATCCGCACGCACCACGAACTTGCGTCTCACAGTTTTCTGGAACGAGTAGCAATCACCAAACCGGTAACGTCATCAGAATAACCCTAAAAGAATCCTCACCTTTATGCGAATCCAAGCTGATATAGTTATAACTGGGTAATTTAGTATTATCAACTGAGTTGATAACGTAAACTGGCCACCGTAAAGAGTTAGCCCTTCGTCAGAACGATTGGAGGAATTGTGGGTTGTGTGAAGGTTTATTTGCAGAAAATGGAGCTACGCTATTGGTGGGAATATGGTGACGAGAAAACAAGAATAATTTAGTGGTATGAAAAGTGCTCGATGACACCGTGGGGACTAAGAGTGTAGCCTACGTGAGGCCGTAATCTCCCCTCCCTACAAGGTGAAACGGAGGCGAGGAAATGTCGAATCGTTTTCTGTGACGTCATTCTTTTGCAAGAAAATGTATAATGGCTTTTTATTGATCAACCCCTTTTGCCAATTCTTTCGTCAGTTCTGATTGGTCAGAGTTGGTAATTTATTTTCAAACTAACGAACCGAAAAAACGAAACGAAAAAAATTCAGGCCTGTACGGGATTTGAACCCATGACCTCTGCGATACCGGTGCAGTGCTCTACCAACTGAGCTAACAAGCCAACTGGGAGCTGGTCATGATGGTGGTTCTAAATAAACCCGTGAAGTGATGAATAGACGGTTAAGAATATATGAAGGTCATATATTTGAACTGCGGATAAAGACATGAATGAAAGTGATCTTCGCAGTGATGTGCACTACTTTGGCAGTAGTGAAAATAAGGCCTGAAAAAAATTCAGGCCTGTACGGGATTTGAACCCATGACCTCTGCGATACCGGTGCAGTGCTCTACCAACTGAGCTAACAAGCCAACTGGTTTATTTAGAACCACCATCATGACCAGTTCCCAGTCTATATCTATTGTGCCGCCCGTTAAAGCTCTCGCAGCCGACCAGGTGCACTATCTCTATGTACTTGGGCCAAGAGGATTGTCCGCCTTCAGCCTTCGATCTCTTTACGAACGGTGCTGCGAAGCTGTTAAGACTCAGGCTGTGTCCGGCTGCCGGACGTTTAGTCACTTAAGTTAAAGCTAGTTGTTTCTCGCAACGATTCTTTTGACTGAGAAAAGAGTCGCTCTTTCTTCACGCTTGGAGCGTAAGTATCTCTTAAGAGACTCTGCGGCAAATCATCCAACTTTTTTCGTCGACTGTGGCACTGCTTGCAAATGCAAACAGAAACCGTGAGGATTTCGTAAGCGCGATGCTAATCGAACATCGTCCTCTTCTCACTCTATACAAAAATCGCTCATAATCTTGTCCTATATCCTTAAAGCAAAATATATATTTGAAATCGGACGCTGAATTGCAAATTTACCCGAAAAATGGAAAATGAATTCGCTTCAGTGTTGTTGTTTATCTCGATAACCTTCACGTTAAAACGTGCCTCTTCGCAAAAAAATATAATCAAACGACATTATTTGTCATAAATTAGAGTGGCGTTACGGAACACGATTAGTGTCGGGTTTGCGTAGAAATTCCCTCGCTTCTGTTTCACCTTAAGTTTGGGGGGGGGGGGGGAAGGGTACGGCTGCACGTAAGCCACTAAGAATGCCGATTTGAAAGATAAATTTTTGTTCTTAAGTTTTGCGGCTTTCCGAACTGCGTAGTTGTAGGGAAAGGTTGCAAATTGCCATTGATTATTAGAATTATTAAGGATATTAAAGTGTCTAACGTCTGGTTTGGATGCGTCCTTATCATTTCTTTCTACGTCACGAAGGTGTTCTCGGAATCAATCACCTAGTCGTCTTCCTGTTTCAACTCAATAACTTTATGCAATAACTTTATGCAATAACTTTATGCAATAAGTTCAAGTTATGCAGTAAATGACATTTGCAGAGGTGCACGTGAATTGATCCTTGGTTAGGCAGCGGTTGCTTGGAGTTTGCAACACTTCGATCACGCAAAAAGTGCAGATATTATTTTAACGAGTTAATCTCTAAATACTCTGCAATTTCAGCTAATAAGCAAAAGAACAACTTTGATAAAACACTTCAGAACACTGAATACGCTTAAGCTTGATAGTTACAGAAACATCCGGTCGGCCAGTACTCAACCTTCATAACAGTAACAAACGAACAAAGCCTACATTTGGTACAGTTTGTTAAGACTTCTCAATACCAATGTACACAGTCGTGGATAACTATGCAAACTTTCAACTGATAAAACACTACAGATCACTGAAAACGCGCAGGCTTGTGGTTTACAGAGACAAATACAACTACAAACTTTGATAAAACACAAAAGAACACCAGACAACCGTAAGCTTAATAGTTACAGGAACATCTGGTTGACCAATAATCAACCTTCATAATTGTAACAAAGCGCACGTTTGCTTCAGTTCTGACAAGTCCTCCGAAAAAAACTTGTAGTACATATATTGTATAACATAAACGTCAAGAACTCAAGTAATCTCGACCTCAGACGGCGGATAACTGACAGCGAGAAGAGAAAGCTCTTCTTGCCGCTAGTCATGTGCAACAAGGGGCAAGATCTTCAATGAGGATTGTGGAGGGTCTGAATGGGGTGGTTGCTTTTACGACTAACGGTTAAAATTTTAGCCATTTTACGGGCAACGGTTAATTTGACGCTTTAGAAAATGACAGATCGTAGTTAGGAAAAATTTCTACGGTTAACTTTTCTTGCGACGAACAGTTTAAATATGTCAGTTTTTACGCTAAGGGACTAAACATGTTTTTTCGTTTTCCAGCTACCGTCGAGAATAATGGGTTATTGAGAAGCTTTCGACAATTAATACACCTATGCCTTCAGAAGTCGCTAAAACCGCGAATTTTCTCATTCTGGTAAACGTGGTCACATCTCTGGAAAACACCTCTTCAACTGCCAAATTCCTTGCAACTAGATCGTTTCCAACCTCATTGGTCGCTCTCCTTTCAGTTGTCGGCGTAATTGTTTTAGCACCACGAACCACAGCCTCTTTTATAGTTTGTGCTGCTACATCCTCTACAGCGGTCAATGCACTAAGAGTAACAAGGCCTAAAACTCCAAAGAGTAAGTTTATTACTCCTCTAAGGATATCACCATTATAGAAATTCTTCACCACTGCAGCGAAATCTAGTGCAGTTCGTAATCCAGATAGCATGTGTTCTGCTGCTGCTCTTAAGGCAATCCAGAAAATAAAATCTATCGTGGATGCAATCCACGATTTGTTCGACATTTTTGCGGAAGGTTGCTGTGAAAAAATATATAAGGTATAAAGAGTCATGAATACTCTGAAATAGGAATGGTTAAGTCACTAAATGGGATGAAAACTAGATAGCTCTTGAGGTGGGCTTGAGATGTCCTCTGAGCTGCATCAGGTCTTAACCAAATAGAAAAATCAGGGGTCAGTTAAATGCTAGAGGTAACACTTGACAGGATGTCATAGTAAAGCCAGTCATGTATCGAGGTAGGCCCGGAACGCACCTGCCTCATCAGTCATACCATCCGCGCCTGCATGGATATCACGTGTTAATGTTGGATAATTTGAGTGCAAGTAATTTACTGAGGTTTTATGTGTACCTTATTGTTACTCATGGGAACGTAATATCATGAAAATGGAACGGGCGTATTTCGTGGAACCTCAAGGAGGCTAGATAAGGTTTTGATTGCTCAAGATCTGGACGTGATCATAGCGCTCGAGCTTTAAGAATGTCAACAAGCAAAACAAACATGGCGGCTCGATGCGATCGCACTATTGCTATGAAAAAGGTGTATTTTAATGTTTTAAAAAAACATAAAACAATGCAGTTTTTATGATATAATTGGCTCAGTCCTAGCCACACAATTCGCATCAAATAGCTTGTTTTTTTAAAATCTGTCAGAGCTAATCGAATATATTCAGAAAAATAAAAACTTAGAGAATATTGGCAAAACTGTCTGATCAACCTTGAGTTTTTAACGTTTTTAAAAGGTCAGGCAATATTATTATCTTGTAGCAAAGAATGAAGACATTTCACCTAGCGAAGATAAGATCGTAAGGTATTCAGGCCAAAATTTGAAATATATCTGCCTGTCATTGGTAACGTCATTTATTTTGTATTGGCACCTAAAAGAAAGCCTTATTATACTATATTTACGATGATTTTCGAGACCAGTCTTTTTCTTCGCAATTTCTTTCTTCTAGTGGCTGTCACTGCATATTTATTTATGTACTTTAACTCGAAATTTCCTGCTAAAAGTAAATTCTTGTTCTGGGCTTTTTGGGGACTTGTTGGGGTGAATGATACACAAGCGAAGTCCGCATTTTGAATTATACAGTTTATTTTGCGGGCACGATTACTTATCTAAAATTCTAAACATGTCGTAAATTTTCTTGTTAAAGCTTTTTATGCGAATCTACACCAAACGTCATAGTCTTGCATCTCATGCGATCGAAATTCTCTGCGAAATCGATTGACCAATCAAATTTCCAAATTTTCAAATTTTCTCCGAAAAATCAAACAGGTGTAAAGACCACCGTAAAGACCATATTGTGTTGTGTCGATTTGCCTATACAGTGCAAGAGTTAACTTATATAGACGTATCAGTACAAGAGATCGATCGAGTCGTCAAGAAATTAAACTTCAAGAGCACAAGCCAATATTTAAGGAGCACACTATCTTGGTAGAATATGTCTTGAAACCTTCTTAATACTTCTGCTTCAAATAAAACTACGATCGTAAGATACATTTGCACGCCATGTAATATACAATCAATTAAAAACTTTCAAATTCTCGGAAATGTTATCGTGCTCACCACTGATCTCCTTTTCTTCCCCTGTCTCTCGTTCTGTGTGTGTCTCTCCCTAAAAGAAAACAAGTTTAAGTTAGCTTTTTACCTCTTCCTTGATATGAGGAGTTAAACGAAAATTATAGATACGAAACTCGACTTGAGAAAGAAAAAAACGATGGTTCATTGTATGTCTTTGTTTCAAAGGTTCAGTAGTTAACAAGGAAAACGACACTGAAACCTGAGAAAAGGAAGCTTGAAATTATTAAGCTTTCCGAAAAAACAGAAACAGAATTGGTGATCAGGTCAAGTCTTAGCATTTAAGCAGAAGTCCTAGGATATCCTCGATAAATGAGCGATGCATCTTCTGTTTCAAAAACAGCACGATCGTAAGAGACATTTGCATGCCATACAATATATAAGTAATTAATAATTCTCAAATTCTCGGAAATGTTATCGTGCTCACTTCTAATCTCCCTTTCTCTCTATTTCTGTCTGTCTGTCTGTCTCTCTCTCTCTCTCTCTCTCTCTCTCTCTCCCTCTCTCTCTCTCTCTCTCTCTCACTCGAAAAAAAACAACAACTTTAAGTTAACATTTTACCCCTTTTTCGATCTATCAGTGAGATTTAACAAAAATTAGAGATGCGAAACGCGACTTGAGAAAATAAACAGCTTTGTGTCTTAGGTTTCTTGGAAAATCAAACTGAAACCTGTGGAAAGGACCCTTGACATCTTCAAGCTTTCCAAAAAATAATACGGAATTGGCGATCAATTTAAAAACACTAAGCAAGGCAATTTAGCATGTTGGCTGAAAATGTTGAGTACGTTTTGTACTTCGATTCTTTACCAAATCTATCCGTACGCACCACAAACTTGCGTCTCACAGTATTCTGGAACGAGCAATCGCCAAACCGGTAACGTCATTAGAATAACCCCAATAGAATCCTCACCTTTATGCGAATCCAAGCTGATATGGTTATAACGAATAATTTAGTATTATAAACTGAGTTGATAACGTAAAGTGGCCACCGTAAAGAGTTAGCCCTTCGTCAGTACGATTGGAGGAATTGTGGGTTGTGTGTGGGTTTATATGCAGAAAATAAAGCTGCACTATTGGTGGGAATATGGTGACGAGAACACAAGAATAAATCACTTGGATGTAAAGCGCTCGTTGACATAGTGGAGACTAAGGGTGCCAATTTGAAAAAAAAATTTTTGTTCTTGAGTTTTGCGGCTTTTCGAACTGCCTAGATGTAAGGAAAGGCTGTAAACAGCCATATGCCGCTTAGCATGATTAGGGAAATTAAAGTGTCTAGCGACTGGTTTGGATGCGTCCTTGTTATTTCTTTCTAGTCGCGAAAGTGTTCTCGGAATCGGTCGCCAGTCGTCTTCCTGTTTCACCAATGTACAACTTTTTGCAATAAGCGCAAGTTATGCAGTTGATGCATGACATTGGCGGAGGTGCGCGTGAAGCGATCAGCGATCTTTATGGTTGTTTTGGGTCCCGAAGTTTTCTCTACGTTATGAATGAAAGGACAAGTTTTGCATCGTAAGCGAGCGTATTTGAAAGTGCCCAACAAATTGATCGAAAGTCAGCACTACGAACGGTGGAGAAGGATAATAATGATCTCATTCCATTTACTCCAGCATTTCACCTTCACAACTACGCAGTTAAATCCAATATTCTTAAAAACTTTAAATTACTTAATTCAGGACGATTCAGAGACTGTTACTATCTTTTCGTAACCTGCATTAATTTCAATCAAACGTGACAAAAGCATGGCATGAAAAAAATTTACTTAACGCTTGCCGAAAATGGCGAAAAGTGAATCAGCCCCCAGCCTCGAACAAACACCCACCCTTAAGATCCAAAAATTTAATGAGCACCCAGGACATTTATTTAAATAAATACGGTATTCAGTATCAAATGACCATATCACTACCATGGAATCCACAGCATATTGGATTGGTCGTATCAAGGTTTGATCTTACACTTCTAAATGAAATGTTATTCTAAGTTTTGTATCTGGAGCAGTGAGACATTCTGATTGGAAATTTTTAAGAAATGTTCTCTAAATTAACTCCGACAAAAGTAACTGTGAGTTCTGTGGGTGTGGTTTTGGGATTATGCTGACGTTGTCTCCGTTGCTTCCATATTTCAAAGAAAGGTTTTATTTTTTGTTACAATAAAGTTCGGATATAACGCGCGCTGTCATTGGTTGCAAGAGCGTGCTCTATGAGAGTAAAGAGCATAGAGCTGAGCTGAAGCTGTCACGCCATCTGCCAAATTGTACTATGTCCTACCTTTTCCGGGACTTCTCTTTAGCCTTTTTTCGTTGATTGAAAGTGAAATTTCGGAACAAGCGAGCCGGCAAGTAGCAACAGGAGAACCAAACAAAGGTTTGTAAACATGCCAGGCACCGTAATTTACGTAATGATGACGTGAGCGGAGACGAAAATCCTCAAAAAGAAAATGAAATGGACAGTCCGATCGAGTTTGGAAAGTTTTCACGCTCAGTTAGATCGCAAGCTTACGTACGGTAATAAAAATCAAACACAGCTAACACTCGTAAAGTATATAAAGTGTCGTGTTAAAAAAAAAAAACAGAGCAAAACAGGAATGGTGAAAAATATAGCCAAACTGGCATAACTTTTAAAATTCATACTAATCATGATGGTGTCACAGCGACTGCGATCATGCTGAGGTCCATTGCGGCTGGATCATCATAGCGATCTCTGGTCATCAGAGTGAAGCACGCCTCAGAACTGGCATCGGCCGCCCTTCGAGTGAAAAACAAGGAGCTTGTTCTGATGTCCTTTCCGATGCGTTGAGTGGGAGGCCACGATAGTCACTGCAGACCGAGTTTTACGGCGCTGTCATACCGAGCAATCTTCATGTTCCGGTGACTTATTTTATCAAGTATTAAATGCCAATGATTGGTAGGAAATTTAAGTTTGCTACTGCCTGGATTGAATTTTCAAACATTTAGTCCTTAAAATTGCTAGAGTGTGTCAAAATGGTAGTAATAATTTTATATTATTCTTTTCTGCCCCTTAAATGAAGTGTGGTGTTACTTACACGATGGAATACTTATTACTCAATGTATCTTAGTTACAATAAGGGTAGTGGGGTTAATGACATACAAAAACCCCACAAGAGTCTTAGTACACCTAAACTTTGCCTTAAAACTATGAAGCAGTTTTTAATCAGAGTGCAAACTTCCTCCGTTCAAGTTTAGTACATTAAACTTTGTTGGGACTCTGCGCTTTTACACTTGAAAGTTAATACCTGGTGCTAATGTAACGGCATATCAGCCTTGTCAATGCACAGTTTGCTTTTAAGCAGGCAAAGACGAAGACGTACCTGCTCCCACCCTCCTCCCCTTCCCCTCCCCTCCTGGAGGTAATTAGCATTTGTTTCAGACTACCTTTAAAAGTATACGAAAATTACCTTGAAACTGAATTAAAC